TTGCTGTATTGTGATTGTTAATAAAAAAAAAGCAAAAACAATAAATTTGCATTAAATTATTTACTTTAATTGTAAACGATTGTTTACAACTTTGTTAAGTTACGTAACTTAGACTTAGAATAATTTTAAGTTTAAAATTTTATTAAAATTTTTGGGGCACAACAGTAGGCAATCATTTATTGCAAATTCTTAGTCCAAATTTTAAACAATAGCATAAAAATGATTTGTAAGTTATAGAAACTGACCTTTGACTTAAAATTTAAGTTTTCATAAATTTTAAATCAAAATTTTTCATAATAAATAAATATTTTGTGCAACGATCTATAAAGTACTAGAAAAACTTTAAAATATCAAATTATGAGCGGATTATTGAACAAATAAAATTATTCCTAATATTGTAATTCTTGTCTTTTACAAATGGTAATGAAAGAAGTATCACGTAGAAATTTGGATGAAATTTTTTTTGTTATTATTTAAAAACATTAAAAACAAAGCAATTTTGAACTGAAGATCTCACTTTGAATTTAGAATTATTAAGAACAATTAGTAGAAAATAAATAAAAAACAGTCATCTTTATTTCCGGCGTCCACCGGACAAACCTGTACGATCGGCAAAAAACTGGTTTGTGAAGTAGCCTTTTTCAGGTTCAACAGGTAAATGGCCGGGTTTTTAATAAGCAATCGTCTTATTATGACATTTTTTTCTTTTGTCTTCAACCTAAAGTCTTTATCCTTCTCTGTTCATCTTCTAGTTTTTCTAGTTCATTTCACGAGGTTCCGTATCTATATTATGTACATGACATACCAAAATTCAAATATTATGGAAAAATTATTGCATACTTTTAGGGTTAAACCAAAAGTAAAAGTGACATTGACATACGACGGCAAACTTGAATTAAAATACTGTTACTTACCATAATTGACTAAATTTAGAATGAAGGCAGAAAAAAATTTTCGATACGAGAGACTCATAATCTTCTGGAAGTTGCATAAATTTCAGATACTTAGAGTCATCTGATAGAAAAACGATTCTGTGATAGTGAAAAATTTTCTTCTAGAGAAGTAGGTTTCTTGCAAACATTTTGTAAACAGACCGGGACGGGCGGATGTGCGGAGTAAAACTAATTAGTACATTATTTTTCAAGTTCCGTTAGATATGTGCTCGAAAAATCTGAAACCACCGACAAACAGGTGGGAAAAGACAAAAGCATTTTGTTGAAGAAATTAAGAAAAAAATTTTTGTTTCTCTTATTTTAAATTTTTAAAATTAAAAATTTTGGAGGTATTGGATTGTGCAAAGTTAACAAAATTTTTGTGCAAACATTAATTTTGATAAATTTTTTCCTGGCCAAAAGAAAAAAAAAAGAAATTTATATTTTATTCTTTATTTTTGTTTTACTTTTATTTTGTTATGACTCTGACCGCTTTTAAATTATTTGAAACGTTTTCCAATGTTTGTTTGTACTTTAACAAATTAAAAAGAAATGAAAACAATGCGCGCGGCGTGCGTGTTGTGTCGGTTATGGCAATTTGTTTTTGCATACATATGAAGTCTAAGTTTGGAATTCATTATTATAATTTTTAACTTGTATGACCTTGAACATTTGCAGTAATTATATAATAGAAGAAAATTATGTGAATTTTACATATATGTATATACACACTGTGTGTACCTATACACATGTAGTGAAGTAATGCTCAAAAAAAAATATTGAATTAATTTAAAAGAAAAATTTCAGGTTCATATTTATGTTTCCTTTCATCTCCATTAAAATTTTCTTATAATTGCGTATAATGTTGGTTCAATGAAATGGAATGGGAATTCGTATATTGCTCCACATTTAGTTATAATTGAAAGTGGCTGCAAAATTTATAAAAAAAATTCCATGAATGTGGCTTGTTTTTAAAGGAATTGGAGTCGAAGTCGTTCCATATTTGGAAGTAAAAAATTGCAAATTAAGTTTGAAATTATTTATATTGCAGCAGTCAAATAACAAAATGTAGCCAAAACATAAAGATCAGCAAACGGAGTGGAAGAAGATGGGTCAACAAGGCGAACACATAGTTTGAAAGTTTTTTGATTGCTGGTTAGGGTCAGAATCGAAATCGTAGAGCCAAAAATTTAAAACTTCAAATAAGGTCGAACTCAACATCAGTTTTATTGCAAATTTCAGTGACAAAGAATACCATATGACTCTGTCCAAATCGAAATTTTCACAAGAGACTTTTTTTTAAATATTTTTCAAAACGTTCCCATAGTTAGATTAACAACTCTTATTACTTCTCCTCATTACTTTTAGCTTTTAACATTTTGTAACGAAATAACTAGTTAGTGACTAAAATATTAATGGAAAAAATTTGGTGAATGCGAAACACACTCTACACCATAACACAATAAATTTTGTTCTTTAATGACTTTTTGTTTTAGGTTTTTCATTTTCATTTCTTTGTTTAGTGATCCAATTTTTAAGACTGTTAAAATATAGGTGAATTGGCGTTGCGTCTTTTTTTAATTTATGTAGTATGCAATTTTTTTTTTCTACCTGGACACATAAAAAATATTTGCTCAAGTGTATCACGCAAAATAATGATAAAAACATTGATATTGATTAAAAATTGATTGAAATTGATTGAAGTAATTTGAATCTATTATTTTGTGCGTTGTATGTATGGTTTTAGAGAATATGGTGCAATCGGGTATATCAGGTATATAGATGAGCCGCAAAATATTACAAAAGTTGAAGAAAATAAAAACAAATAAAGAAACAAATGAAAATTGTGAAAAGCCAAAACTCTTTCATCTTTCTTTTAAAAGAAAAAACAACAAAAAAAAGAAAGAAAAACTTGAAATATCACAATCGTAGTGAAATGCAAAATATAAGCATAATTGTGTGTACTTAAGATGAAATATTTTTAATAAGGAAAATTTTAAAGTGTGTGGATTGAATGCAATTTTTATTTACAGATCAAAATATTTGTGTATCTTTCTTTTAATTACTTACATTTTGCATACGGAATCAAAATGATGCAGAAACCACAGAAAATAAATATTCCTGTGAATAGATAGGGGCTCTCGTTATAGATTTCATTATAAATTGGTGGAAATTATATTGAGTGGTATAAACGATGAATTAATTATTTCAATTGGAACAAGCCGTTGTAAACAGGTACATTTATTGTTAAAAGCCATAATATTTAGGCTTTTACAGTTGTTTTAATTGAAATTCTCAATTCCATACGGCAAAAACAGATTACATAAGGAAAAATTTAAAATTATACATTGAAAATTCTTAACACTGTGCTCAATTATTCATGACTATCACCGTGGTAAATTTTACACCAATATTCTCGTTGGTATATAAAAATTTCTATTATAAAATTAGAATATACTTGCATTTAAAAGTATATGTATAATATCTTTCCTTTCTGCTCGGCTTCGGCAACCTGATCTAATTATAGAATACAGAAATTAACACCTAATTTAACAATTCGTTTGTATTGTGAAAAATCTCGCAAAGAAGACTCAGCTTATTCTACTGCCTTTTAATTATTCTTTAATCTACGAAGAAAATTTTTTTTTAATACAAGTGTCTAAAATCATCGAAAGACAAAGATAGGCGGACTCAAATTATTATCAGACCTATCAATAGTGAAAAACTTTAATTCAACCTAAAACGCACCTGGATGGTCATAAATTCGTAAAACTTGTAGAACTGACTAACCATTAGTTTTGCTCCATTGTGTTTTTATGTTCATATTTCGTGAAAGAAGGCACGGAAGTGCTGTCACAGTACTCTTGATTAATTCGAGGGGTCTCGTTCGGTTCAGTTTTTTTTGTCCAAATCCTCTCCATAAATTGTAAACAGTAAGTTATTTTTGTTTACAGTTCTTAAGGACTTATCAACATTAGAAGCTCTTCAATTAGAATTCTAATTTTTATTTACTTAGAATTCTAATTTTTTAATAAGTGTGCTTTTATGCCAAAAATGATTCGGTAATGATGAAGTTTGAAAATATTTTTGGATTTTCATGAAGTAGCGATTCCGTAAGTAATATGATTTGCTTGAATTTTTTTTAATAATTTATTGTTTTTTGATATTATTTTCTTTATAAACGCATTTTATTGAAAAAAGAGTAAATACCAAACACCGACGCCAATTTTATACTAGTGCGGTTAGTAAATTAACCAATTTTCTTATGAACTAACATTTTTATTTTATTTTGTAAATTGCTGTTTTGTTGACTTTATGGTTTTGTTTTTAAATTTTTTCTTTTATTTATTTTATTATTTTTGTTTCTCTTTCTTTTCTCAGAGAATTTCGTATGTATGATGCTAGTTTGTTTTGTTATATTATTTCTATTGTTATAACAATAGTGTGCTGCAAAATAAAGTAATACTGTAATAATAACTATGAAACATAATTTTTTTATTCTCTATACACAAATATTATTCTCATGCTAATATACTGTTGCTCTTTTAATAATATGTGAGTGCAAAATTTAAAAGATATACTAGTGCTAGCGTTATTTTTATTAGATGAGATTAAAATGTAAAAAACAATATATAGAGTGTAGGTATGCGTCATTAAAATATAAAAGACTAAGATGATGACAGCTGAAAATATGGTAGTAAATTTTCAATTGTTGATTTTCTATTCAAATATTCGCAAATTTACTCAAATATGCTTAGATTGCTTATACCATTTTCGTCTCTATATACAATGAATATTCATCCCCCTCTTTGAGAAAAATTATATGTATGGGTTTTTGTCTTGGATATTTTTCATATTATTAGGAAAACTGTGAAATAAGTTGGAAAAAAAAAATACAAAAGCTTAGAAGTATTTTAGGTAGTAAATTTTATTTATGTTTTTCTTATTTTTTTCTGCAATGTCATTTGGTATTGTAATTTTCTTTTTGTTGTTTGTTTTTTTTTTTTCTAAAAGTATTTAATTGGGATTTTGGTTGGGAATCAGTACAGTTTTTCGTGTATCTTTGAATCGGTTATATCGGTGTTCCATTGATCTAATAAAACTTAAAAAATAACAAAGAAAAAAAATATTGATAACCCGAATTAAAATTTGAATTTGATTCTAAAAGAATTTCTTATTATTTAATTTATTAATTGTTAAAAAAATACAAAAAAAAAATTAAATCGAAAAAAATGGTTTCAAAATTGTGTTTAAATGTTATCCTTGCCATTACTTTATTCGGTTGCAATGTTTTAGCAAAACCAGGATATGCTCATCATGGATATAACGTTGATTATTATGTGAGTGTGAACAGAATATAGTGATAAAGTTTTGTGTAAGGTTATGGTGTATATTGAAAGGACACTAAAATAAATTAACAGGATAAATGACAATCAAAAATAATATTTGCTGTAATTTTATGATAAAAAAAAAGTTTTATAAAATTAAAAGAAAAACAAAACAATTTCGATTACTTGAACTTTTGAATTGTGATTAAGAATTTTATCGTTGATATTAGTTATTTACTTTAAAAGGATTTAAGTAAAATTTTTGCTAGGAACGGGTTCTTTATACTCAAAGTCTCAAAGGAAAATTAAAAAATTTTTTCGTATGCATTTGATTTTTTGGATCATTTTTCACAAAAAAAAGAAAACAATTGTACTCAAAAATAAATATTGCAACTCTTTCAAAATTTTATTCTAAAAGAAAGTAAATTTTAATTACAGTGTTGCCATGTTAAATTCATAAGTATTTACTTAATACAATCTATACATTGTATAACAAGTTTATTCTAGATAAATAAAATATTTCTGAGATTTCAATTCTTTAAAAAAATTTGTGTTTACAAATGAAGAATTTTATAAATATTAAAAATTTTTTGTATTTCAACGTTAATCAAACTAATGTATTTGAATTATTCAGAACAGCATCTGTACCATTTATAATTATGACTGTTCTACGTGACTATTCTGTTAAACTTTTAAAACAATATTGTAAATTGTAGAAATATTTCTGTAAATACTCAATGTTAGCAAACATTTAACGTGATCTTACAAAGTTCCAATTATTTTTTAAATAAATTATGGAGCATAATTAATTTTAAAGTTTTTTTTGTGAGGAATATAGCGAATATATCATTGATAGTCGGATATCCTGGTCAACTATATAGTAAAATCCTAATCAAATGTATCATGTATACGGACAGCTTTGAAATATTCGTATTATTTTAATTAATAACCTTAGCGATCAAAAATTAAGTTTGATTTTTTTTTTCTACATTTCAAATTGCAAATTGTTTTTTGCAGTGTATCAAAAACCGAATTTTTGAAAATTTTCAAATTTGAAGAATAACAAAAGAGGTGAACGAATTCTTCACTTTTTCAGAATCCTAAAATCGGTTTCAATTATTAAAAAGCGAAAAAGTTTTCAACGCTAGATAATTTGGAAAATATTTTATTAATCTTAGCTGACAGTAAATTTGACTCGATTTGCAAGATATTTTGTTATTTATTCGATTCGAAAAATAATTTACGGTAAACTCGACTAAATTGCTGATCATTTTCGGAAGAAATTGTGTTCTTGTAGAAGTTGCATTAGTGTGACCAAAATATCATTTTTGTAATAAATTCACCATACAATTTAGGAAAGAATTTATTTTAATTTTTTAGTTATTCGTTCGTCTAACTTTCTACTCTTGTATGGAGTTTTTTTTTCAATTATGTACGGTTTTTACATTCTTTTGAATATTGTAGTAATTTAACACTAAAATTTTTTCCAGTGTAAAATACAAAATATCTCGTAACTTCTTTTGCATTATTGAATGAAGCATAATGTTAATTAGGTTAGGTTGTCGCAGCTCCCCAAAGGGTACACATAGGCCAACTAGGCTTGTTGTGGTACCGCCTGATCTCTTCCCTCCCGCTCCTCATCTGAACCAGTCCGACCCCTTAAAATCGCTTCAAATTCCTTAATGTTAATTAACATTTTATGAAAATTTATTATTTTTATCAAGAAATTTTTATAATCAAAAATTAATTATTTATTGAAAAATTTTTTAAGGATCATCCAAAATATGCTTTTAATTATGGAGTAGCTGATCATACAACTGGTGATGTTAAATCACAACATGAAGTGCGTGATGGTGATGTTGTTAAAGGTAATTAAATCCCAAAAGCAAATAAATTTAAATAAAATTTATCAAAAATTATTTTTTATTTTTATAGGACAATATTCTTTAGTTGAACCTGATGGTTCAATTCGAACAGTTGATTATACTGCAGATCCTGTTCATGGTTTTAATGCTGTTGTCTCAAAAACAGGTCCAACAATTCATCATACACCAGTAGTACATTCTGCACCAGTTGTACATGCTGCTCCAGTTGTTCATGCTGCACCTGTTGTACATAAAACTATTTTGCCAGCAGCACCAGTTGTTGTTGCATCACCAGCACCATATGGTAAGTTCTTTCATGTACATTAAATATTTGCTATAATTCCAAAATTAATTTATAAATTTCAATAGATGTGTAATTTGTAACAGTGTCTGTGCAAATCTTTGTAGAATTTTCATTTCTTTCTGTCATTCTGAAGTATGTGTTTTTATTGTATTTTCTGGAATTTAGTCGAATTATTTTAATTTTCCATTTGAATTACTAAGGTAATTACTAAGTAAAATACTAAGAGGGATTAGGCTTAAAATTGTTGTTTAAAAATTGGGAATTGATGAAATCTTAGAAAAAAATCAAATTATTCACTTTGTAGAAGTCAAACACAAATCAGTTTTGGTATTCACTTTTTGAAGAAAGTATAGCACTGGGTAAAATAGCTTTAGTATGAAAAACTTGTTGAAAATTTTATATTAAAGTGAATTTTATGTTTTGTTTAGGAATAGACACTTATAGAATGATGAAATTATTTAAACCATATGGACTCTCAAGGAGATATTAAAAACAGAATTAATTTAAATTGTATAAGATTTTCGATAAATAACAACTCAATATTATTGTAAGTAATTAAAACGTTAAATTAAAAATATCAACTTTTCCAAGACACATTGAAATTAAACATGGCCCCAAAATATATGCAAATTTTCAAAAAATGTCGGCTGCAGTTCAGCTCAAATATATTGTCGAGTCACATGCAACTAATATCGTTATGGCATGAAAACGTTTCGTATGATTTAATAAATGTTTAATTTATAAACGTTTGGGAAATTTGTTTGATGAAATTAAACTCTAATTCTTATAAAACAAAACTTATGAACAATGGTTAAAGCCTGATACTTGCCTGATTTCGACAATGCACTTTAAATTTCTTGAATTTCTTAATATTCAACAAAATTTTTTAATAAATTTATGAATAAATTAAATTTTTAGTACAAATGAATTGTGACATTTGTCTGCGATTTTTCATTTCCCTGAAGTAATTTGCAACTAAATCTAACTTAAATCTTAGATTAATAAAACAAAACCACCTAATTCTCATGTAAACTCTTTCTAAACTCATAAAATATTATGAAATTTCATTTTTTTTTAAATATTAATTAAAAAAAACAAAAATTTCTTACTCATATAATTAAAAATAAGTCACTCTTAAATTTACGGGAATTCTTCAAAAAATAATAATAATTTGCCGCAACTATATAGCAATGCTACAACCATAGAGTTGCAACAAATATGGAAAATTTTATATTTTTTCTTTTTTTTTTTGAAAAATTTAATGTGCGAATTTTCCCACATGTTGATTTTATTTATCCTCACAGGTGCTATACTGTTCAACCTTTAATTAAGAAGCTTTTTATATTTAATTAACATTTTGTTAACGTAAATTAATGTTTGTGTGTGAGAACATCGGGTACAACATTTTGTATATAGTTTGATACTGTTTTGATTTATTCTATTTCAAAGACCTAGATTTTATTCAGAATAAATCAATTTCTTTGTTTTGTTCGTGTTATACTCATATTGTTTTTTGTCTTGCTAAATTTTAATAGAAAATGAATTTAATAAGAATTCCGACATTGTCTACTTTTTTTTTCAAACTAAATTATAACAGATTTATTACAATATTACTATGACATTTATTTACTAATATGTTTAAATTAAAATTTAGAATCAAATGTATAAAAGAATTTTAAAAGATTAGTGTACCTATATTTTAGAAAAAAATTTATTAGTTGCGGTCACCGAAACTGAACTTATATAATGTGTTATACTAGGTGAAATACTGCGAAATTCTGTCATATAGAGGAAGGCAGATGGAACGTTGGTAGAGCTGAAAGTAGTAAAAAGTATTATACACATTTTAATGTATATAACACTTAGACTTCAAATGTATAACACTTTCTACTATATCTATTCCAATTCAACAAATGTCAAATACATCAATATAAATCTGTAGACTAAATTAATTTCTGTATAACAGAATGTCCATTCAAATCAATGTTCGAATCGCAAATTACATGCTACTTTTCTGGGTGGTATTTCTAACTTTAAATACCCGTTAAAGAACTGGTACATCTAATATTCTCTTTTATAATGTTTTTTAACTTCAAAATTTCAACTGCATAGGGGGAGCAGTTGTATAAAAGAAACTATGAAATAATGTTATGACTACGTTTATAAAATAAAATATTCAAAGTGTCACAATAAAACAAACATAAAATACAAAAGAAAAATTAAACTAAAAAAAAAAGAACACAAAACACCAAATAAAATCGAAAATTCACAAATTTATGGAAATAACAGTAAATTAGCAATAGAATAACAGTATATAATGTTGTACTAATTGAAATTTACACAAAAATTTACAATAGTCATTGTTTGCCATGACTATTGTATGGTATAATAAAGTTATAAAGTGTCTTAACATTACCGCATCATTTAAAGTGCTATTACATGTAGGTATGTAAATTTTTGTTGTACATTTTCATTGCAATAATGTTATGATAGCTTTCTTGCTTACCAAGAAGGTGGATAATATTATTATGTGCTGTATGAAAACATTAAGTATAAAAACGAAAAAAAAAATATTGGGTGTTATGTCACGGATTTTTCATCCATATTTATTTTCTCAAATGTTATTCTATCTACATGTTATTTGATGGTTCATTGTTTATTTACATACATGTTTATATGTAAACGCTTCTATTTGCAAGCAAGCATATTTGGCGTTTTTGTTACAATACTAAATTTACATTTATAATCCTTTTGTATGCTTTATATTGTATAGGAATTTACATTAAATGTTTGACTTAATATTTAGTTATCATTTTATCATTGAATTTTTGTCAGTGAATTTTTAATTCATGAGCTCATATTAAATACCAGTAAAAAAGTTTAAATTTAAACGTATAAAATTATCTCAATAATTTAAAGAATCTGAATCCCCTTAGTATCGTAGCCGTTTAGAAAACATACTGAGTAATTATTTTAACTAAATTTTAGATTTGCTTTAGCATAGAGCTAGGAGAGTACCCAAAAATACTTATTCTACGACAATTAATACCCAATTGTAGTAATTGTTTTTACCGAAAGAGCATTTCCGCTTTAGGTATACTACTGTTAATTTTAACTACTGACAAAGTGGTGAATGGTGATTAACTTCATAACAGTTATAGTAACTCTAAAGTATTTTGGGAATTTTAAAAATGCTTTTGTCATTTAATTTTTATTGGTTGTATTTGAATATTTCAATAAAAAAAACCATAAATAATTGAAAACGTTTACCAAACATTTACAGAAAAGACTATGTAGGATCTACTGAAGATATTTATTTAAAGAGCTATGTAGGATCAATTAAGATAAATTAATTATTTTCTTTTAAGCACTCAATGTTGCACACAGGAAGTGATTTCGTTGTATCGCACTAAATATATAAAGCACAGATTTTGAAAAATTCACTGTTATACAATATGAAGCCCAAAAGTAATAAAATAATTTATATATCTAAAAATCCTACTGTAAAACTTCAAGAAAGGAAAATTGAAAACAAACATTTCGTTTTAACAATTTTTAATTTCTATAACATTTTGTGTTTTGACACTATTCTTTTATCGACTTGCACTATTCCAATTAATTATTGTTTTTATACCCTGCACTTCGTGAAGGGTATATTAACTTTGGTATGGAGTTTGTAACTACTTGAAGGAGTCATCTGCGGTATGGACATATATATATATTCTTGCTCAGCGTAAAATTCTGCGTCGATTTAGACATGTCCGTCTGTCCGTCCGTCCGTCCGTCCGTCCGATCGCACAATAACTCAAAAACGAATAATGCTATCGACACCAAACTTTCACAAGTTTTTTCTTTTGTGCCAAGGACGAACCCTATTGTTATTGGACTAATTCGGACAACGGGTTCGGGTAGCTGCCATACAACTCAAGGAGTTTATTTTAAATATTTCGAAAACTACTAAAGCTATTAATATAAAATTTTGTATACATGTGTCCAATTATATTCTACACATGCTCTAAAAATTATAATGGGATAGCTGCACCGGTTCGGGTGGCTGCCATACAACTCCAACAGCAAATTTTTTATATTTGGCAAAATAATAAAGTCAGATTCGTGAAACTTGGTAGTCATGTGTCCAATTATAGGTCAAATGTATTTCTGAAGTTTTAGAAGAATTGCTTGACAGGTTCGGGTACCTGCCATACAACTCCAGAAGCTAATTTTAAATATTTGGAAAAACAATAAAGTGAGATTCATGAAACTTGACAGTTGTGTGTCCGATTGTAGATCAGATATATTTGTGAAGTTTTAGTGGAATTGCTTGACAGGTTCGGGTACTTGCCATACAACTCCAAAAGCTTATTTTAAATATTTGGAAAAATAATAAAGTCAGATTCATGAAACTTGGCAGTTGTATGTCGAGTTATAGGTCAGATATATTTCTGAAGTTTTGGTGGGATTGCTTGGCAGGTTCGAGTAGCTCCCATACAAGTCTAAAAGTTTATTCTTAATATTTGGAAAAATAATAAAGTCAGATTCATGAGACTTGGCAGTCGTGTGTCCAATTATAGGTCAAACATATTTCTAAAGTTTTGGTGGGATTGCTTGGCAGGTTCGAGTAGCTCCCATACAAGTCTAAAAGCTTATTCTTAATATTTGGAAAAATAATAAAGTCAGATTAATGAAACTTAGCAGTTGTGTCCGATTGTAGATCAGATATATTTGTGAGGTTTTAGTGGAATTGCTTGACAGGTTCGGGTACTTGCCATACAACTCCAAAAGCTTATTTTAAATATTTGGAAAAATAATAAAGTCAGATTCATGAAACTTGGCACTTGTATGTCGATTTACAGGTCAGATATATTTCTGAAGTTTTGGTGGAATTGCTTGACAGGTTCGAGTGGATACCATACAAGCCTAAAAGCTTATTCTTAATATTTGAAAAAATAATAAAGTCAGATTCATGAAACTTGGCAGTTGTGTGTCCGATTGTAGATCAG